CTTCGACGTTATTGTTGAACTTCGCCTGAGTTAATTTTCTCCTTCAGGTAATCTCATGGGTGAAACACTGGTAATTTGATATGGTTGCAGAGAATATAAATATCTACCGACTAACCTGGATTTTTAAACAGTTAAGGTATCACGTCAGGAGGTATGGAGAAACCTAAGTGACAGAGAGAGAGAGAGTTTTAAGCCTGCTGAATGTAGTGTCTACGAGATATAACTAGACTAGGTTGGCTGACCGTACCATTATAGAAATGTACACCGTATCATTCATTTAGTTAAGTTACATTCAGTCATCATTCTAAACATGTTACATTTACACATTTTCTGTTTACTTGTTTGCTTTGTTTTGTTTTATGTCGTGCCGGTACATTACTAATGTACTAATTCAATTTACCATTCTTTAACAACAACAACAAAAAAGTCCATGAATAGTGTCAACTTGAAATAATACACTTCTATTATAAAATTCGTCTTAATTTTAGGCCAACACATTCCAGTAATCAATGAATACCTCTCTCCAGCTTGTATTATCAATGTTGACACATACTAGATATGAGTTAATGTGTTGACTGGTAATCATATTCACTGCTTGAGAACTATTAACAAGGCTATACTGTTGTCGACCGACTAATTTCAAACATGAACATGAAAAATTGCCAGGGAAGTTAGTTAGTTAGTTAGTTGGTAGAGTTTCAAGATGGTTGTCAATGTAGGATTCACTATCGGAATAAACAATCTTACGTTGGACACCAAAAGAAACAATGTTGATGACTCATTTTGTTTTACACAAATAACTCAATGAGAGTTAGAAGTTTATTGGTGGATGGTGACTAGCAGTGTGGAATCCAGAATCCGTGTATTTCGTCCCATTTGGGACTCGTCATCTGACTGTACCTGAGAGAGAGAGAGAGACAGTTCTTCGGAAACATGCAACAAACTAACACACCAAAGTAAATGTTTAGGAAAAGGCTAATTCTTCATTAATTATTGAGGATAGATGGAAGGTTATTTAATTCAGTTTAACCTATCCCGTTGATTGATTAGGCTGAAGTGGTCGGCCTCAGGTCCCAAATAGGAAGAAATGCGCAACCTGTATTCCACTGCTAGTCATTATCCCCTAATTTGCTTCTTAGTGGAGGATGTGTACAGTCACATACTAATTAAGACACTATCTAAAGGAAAGCTATTCAATCTCGACCTACTATGAAGCTTTAAAACTAAAACTAAAATGGGATTTTGGATAGCGACCCGCATATTTTATGTAGCAAATACACAATTCATTTCCTATTTAGGATAGGTTACAGAAATAAAACGAAAGATTGAAATCGGTGTGCATTTAATATACGCCAGAAACAATGACGTTATTTCATAGGTGGTAAGCAACGGAATCCAAAATGCGCTTTTCGTCCTATTTAGGACTCGTCGGGCAAATCCCTACACATCAACTCTTGAAAAATTAATCTTATGCTCGCCATCTCTGGCGTAGACGTGACATCCGAATATCGACCAGAGGGCGTGTGTACTGCTCAGCAGTCCGCTCTGTCCTTCTTTATGGCTAGCTGTGAGACCTGGCCATTGAGAGAAGAAGACATGAAAAGATTATCTGTGTTCGATCATAGGTGTCTGCGTTCTATCTCCCGCGTGAAGTGGTATAATAAGGTGAGCAATATTCAGGTTAGGCGTCGAGTGCTAGGTAAGGCGGGGAAATCAGTCGCCGAGACTGTGAAATTACATCGACTGAGAAGGTTAGGACATGTGTTACATATGTCTAGTCATCGCCTTCATCGACGGGCAATGTTAGCTGATATAGGGCCATGCTGGAGAAGAGAAAGCGGCGGTCAAACGAAAACATGGCACCAGTCAATGAAATCTACAACAGTTAGTCTAAGCCACTTATGAAGGTGTAGACTTCCTGACTGGTTGGGATAATCGGGACGGTAAAATCCAATGGTTGGAAACAATTGGTGATATGGCTCAAAATCGTTCTCAATGGCTGGCACAGATGCATCCACTCCTTGTGACTTATGATTTCCAGTTAAACTGTTTTGTTCTTCGTTATTACTATTCCTTTGTCTCACACCTCTGTTTACTGTCTATATTATGCATTTCTTCTAATTTCTTCTCTTGCTTTGTGTGTTACATGGAGTGTGGCGACTTGAACTGCCGCACATATGTGCAAAGTTCTATGTCGAAAACCGACCGACCGACGGATGCTCGCTAGTGACTGTCTACAGCACGGAGTTTCCTGGAGTTCCTAGTGAGAAGTCGTGACCAGTGAAATGCATCCAGTCGGGATGTGAGGATGGATTTCCCACTGATAACAATGGTTGGTGGTCAAGCTAAAATCACGAATCGGTACAAGTTAGAATTCATGGACTGGCCATTGAGGAATCGGGTCCCAGTGGCTGAATGGTCTACGAGCTAGCTTGCCTTTTAACCGGAAGGTCCTGAGTTAGAACCCAGGACCAATGATTCTCAAACTAGGATGAAACAGCTGTCCAGTACCCCGGTGTTGGTTTTCAATGGTTCTCTAACTGATATCAATCCGTCGAAAATGTATCTACATCCCCACGAAGCGGTGATGAGACTCACACCTAACACTCGGTCGTTCCAAACGCCAAAGCGTTATCTAGTATTTTCAAGAGTTAGTTTGTAGAGATTTGATTTGTTCCAAGTTTGACCATGGATTTATATTAGTCAGAGAACCAACAGAGAATACCGGACAGCTGTTTCGTCCTGTGTTGGGACTCATCACCAGTACGCGCCCATCGGGGTTCGAATCCAGGAGCTTCCAGTTACAGAGAAAGCTCGTGGACCATTCAGTCATGAATTCCAACTCCTACTAATCCATGGTTTTAACGCGACCATCAGCCACTGTCATCGGCAAGCATTTATCTTCCCACCAGACCTAGTGGACCCCACTGGTCAAGTCTTCTAACTAGAATTTCTAGCAACTTCTCCCTGTAGCCAGTCACTAGCGGACATCTGATTTATTTCCAAGAGTCAATTGGTGGCCACGATAGTCATCTCCTATTGTTATTTATTGGAAGCACTACTTTTGAATTCCCCATTGACTGATTTTATCGGGAAGAAATGCTCAGTTATTGTTGACATATAAACAATTCGATCTGTAAATAACTGTTGGTAAGACTAAGATACCTTTGGATCGGCGGACTGATAACTGATCACTAAAGGTGGAATGAAAACCTAAATGACAGCAATGAGCTTCTGGATAATTGCACTATTGGATCATAAACTTAAACAGTAAAAAACCAAAACAGGTAACATTCTTGTACTTTATTAATGCAATTCCCATAAATACTTAACCAAGGCTAGTACAATTTAGAGTGTTCTCGATGTTCATCATAAATACTAAATCAAATCACAATAATGCAACGGTCATTAGTACATTTAAGTGTGAATTATGTTAGATATGATCCTGCTTTTTCCCGTTCCTTGTGTCCTGGATGGAACATAGGGCCTGAAGCTTTAGGAGTTACAGTAGCGGTGGTGTTTTTTCTACTGGGTAATGTTGCTAACCTCACGCCCAACCTTCTTTATCGGGTTAAATACTGGCTAGAAAACTACGCGACGTTTAGGGGTGCGTCGGGCAACTTAATGACCATATAAGTAGTCGATTATAATGCCTACATGAGAATTATTAATATTGGTTGACTGTTCGACTTCGGTAGACGGAAATTAGTTCGAATTCGTAAATCATTGTTAGGAAATAACCGTATCTAGATGAGTGAACTGATCCTGTATTATGATAAAAATAATCGAAAAGAACGGGGAATATAAAAGACGAACACCCAATACAAACGAAAACGCCAATGACGTTGAGATGTCTAATCGGTACAAGACAGTGGAACCAGGTAAATAACAATATATTCATAAAATAATTTTTGAAAAAGACGTAAGAACAGGATACTTTTCTTAATGATACGGAGAGAATAACTCCCAGTTTCTCATACGCCTGTCGGTGTTCATTCAAATAACAATCACTTAAGGTTAAGAATTACAGTAAGGGGAAGATTACAGTCAAGGTCAATTACTATGAACTGAATCACAGTCAAGAATAATTGATTGGGGTTTAATTTACAACAATTTCCAGGTGAAGATTTTTCCCACCATCCTAAACAAGGCAAAGCTACGTTATAACAACCACCCGAGTACGTGGTCTTCGACAACTAACTAAAGTTACCTGTGGTATAAACAAATTATATTATGTTTAAAGAGTTCCAGGATGATCAAATTTACGATTATTATGCAGATAAAGGATTAAATAGAGCTGCCTTAATATGCACATACAGGAGAAATTTGACAGAATAACAGGCCTTTTGGGAGGATTGGAATTCTAGGGCAGATTAAAGAATACAATGAAAAAAAAATACATAAACGCATCTCAGGACACCGTGACCTATGGTCACCTTTTTAACAATTTTGCGTCCTTTACTGCTCTTTAACGGATCAATTTTCCTGTGCTTTGAATTTTCCGTAGTGATTGGGTTGATTTTTTCGGGTAGGGTCGAACCTTCCCTCATTACGCGGGTTTGGGACCAGATTTTAAACTAGGCGAGGGAAACAACGAGTTGGACATGATTCAGAGGGTGACATGGAAGAGATTACGTGCGGAAGAAATAAAAGCCGGCTAAAAAAATGAAGTGGAGATTTGCTGTTTGGGCCCTAATTGCCATTTAGAACCCAAGGGAATAAACAATGAGAATAATTCTGATTAACTGCTGCAAGTTAATGTTAAGGTCAATCAGAATAGTCGCTATAGTTTAACTTCACCCTGAACAAAATTCATTATTAATACTTAACTCGAGTCCCTTTCTTCCCCTCAAATTTGCCTTTTTGACTCCATTAGTCATTTTAAGGTCATTGAGGATGACCATTCACTCAGGTGTCTTCTGTTCCTTAACTTTGCCTAATGAACATTATTTAACAAAATCATAATAAAATTAGGCAATAAAAAACGAGCTTCAACTTACCTCTACTTATTTTACATAATTCAGAAGAACAGGAATCAAAGTTGTAATTATTCCATTCACCTGAAGAATTCTCTTTCGGTGTAACAGACTGTGTATAGGTTATCAAAGAAAAACTAGTCAAAAGTACTAAAGTGAATAAGATAAATATATACAAATAGTATTTCCTTGAATTGACCGGTACATTATTCCGTTGATGATTACGCCATTCCCACAAAAATGATTTTGTAAAATTACAATTAGATAGAAACATTAAATCCGATTAATAACTTCCAAATCGTTGAAAAAAAATTGCAATAATAATGATGATGATAGTGATAGTGATAGCGATAATGATAGCAATAACATGAATAGGTTCTTTCCATTTACAAGTGTATAATTCCCCAGCTTGAACTTGTATTAAATATTCCGCATACTATAAAAACAACATAGGAATGTTGATTAAATAAAATAATATTCCATATAGTATTTCCATCCGGAAGATGATAAGCACATCTGAATATGAATTCAGATAATTCGACTAAGATGGATTACTACGACTGTCTACGAACAAACTAGCTGACGACCATGAGCAACGGTCAATACAATCAATAAAGTATTTCGGTAAAAAGTTGGATGTGATGGATTGTACGCTGTGTGACCCTTTGTCTAGTTGTCATTGATTGGATAATAAAAAACAGCCAATCATTGTGTTGTATCGTTTGCAGGTATCATCCAATCACATCACTACTTTATTTCCTCATTTGACCTTCATTAATGATAACTATTGGTAGATAAAAATATGTACGATGAGGATGATAATGGAGATGGGCTTAACACTTAGACGCCAACAAGCAGTTTATACTTCCATACTGATGCCAAATGGAGGTAAGGTAGTGTAGTCCTCCACCCTGTGTTATGGATGACAGTAACAGGAATATACACATCAATTTGGCTTACATACACAGGTGTTTTATAACAATAGAAACATGTACAGTGTTATCACTCCCAATATGTTACACAAATGTAGGGAAGGCTTGTATTTTTCTTCAGGTTAAACGACCGTATATATATTTTGTAGATAAAGAGAGTGCGAACATAGTTTTGCAGGATAAAAAAATGCTCATTTGATTTTTATTTCACAGCTTTTCATCAGTTGCTAACAGGCTCAAAACAAATGCGAAAATATATGACATGCTTTGAAAATTATTTCAGCTGACTGAGCTGAACTCAATAGGTAATCTTCCAGTATTTTGCTTACGCAACCGTTTTACTTCTACTAATACCACTCCTTTCGTTCTCATTAAATATGTGGGAGCAATTTAAGGAAATCAGCAGGGGTAAGTAAATAAATAATGACCCCTCTCCAGTTGACACTAGTACTCTTAATAAGTCTTTCATATATTATCCAGCTGATGCTATGATCTTATATGCTACAAGTGCAAATAATGACTGCTTCTCCGGTTTTATTAAAAACGACGTCCTCAAATGTCTCAAATCCTTGAAATCTACCTAGGCTCTTGGTCCAGATGGTGTACCAGCTATTATCCTCAAAAAAATGTGCTGACATATTATGTTATCCTCCCACTGGTATTTCCAATGAATCGTTTTCCACTAACATTGTGCCTGCTTCTTGGGAAGACATTAAAACTGTTCCTGTGCCTAAATCATCAAGTGGGCAAAGTGTTAGTTTTAGACCTATTGCCATTACCTCACCATTTTTAAAAATAATTATAAAACTGTTCTTATTTAACCTTGAACCTTTATTGAAAGCTTTAAACGACGCTAAACAATTAGCTTATAGACGTAGTAGGTGTACTTAAGATGCCACTGTTATCTTATATCAAATATGCTCAGTATGCCTCCCTTAATTGCACATCTACTTTTGACTCCGTACCTAGGTCTCTCTTGTTAAACAAGCTTGCTACGACACAAGCAAGGTGCTGGACGAATAAGTGGTTGCATTCTTACTTTTCTGATAGAAAGTAGTACACTGTATATAATGGAAAGTCCTCCACTACTTCACTTACTGTATCTGGTATTCCTCAGAGAGCTATTCTTTCTTATTAAATGATTTGCCCCATTCTAATGAAGCTAGTTCTGTTAAGCATGGCAATAATCTGATTGTTTCCATGTGGGTTACTTCCCAATCAGACTTTTCCAAAATGAATAACGTGTTATCAGAAATCAGTCAGTGGTCCGTGATGATCAAATGGTTTTAAGCTTAATCCTTCCAAATGTCAGGTTGTTAGTTTCACTTTCAGAAACAAGCTCGACTTACATGAACTGGTCAGTTCGCATGATCCTACTATCATAAATGGCACAGAAGTTGAAACTAAGTCGATTGTTAAAGTATAAAACTTGGGCACTGTGGTAGAGTATAACTCCATTGTAGATATGATTTTATTTTGATAAATCACACAGTGTTATTAAAGATCTTGAGCTGTATATTTCGCTTAATCTTTTTTAGTCTTCCCACACCATATTGGTTTCTAAAATGATATTCCTGTTAACGTTCTATGTTGGGAAGTTAAGACAATCTGGTATCATTCCGTCTCTACTGTTACAGTTTGTCAATTCTTGTACTCTACTTCTTCCTTTTTATTGCTCTCCTTTCCCCGCCCCACTTCATCTTTCCTGGGCTATACAAGAGAGACTTTATCACACTGCGAAGGACACTAAAGGCCATCAGTAGGGCGAGTGGGGGTGTCACTAAACCAACTTGTTCATACTCTTGTAGATAGACACTTGAATTCATGCAAGAAATTTATTGAATATTATCTTGTCAATCCGTGAGCGTCCTCTTTATACACAACTCTCTCCTGGCATTTCATTAGGTGGAACTAGAAGCTCGGGCGACTAAGTATAAAAACTCTACAATACCTTATTTAGTACACATTTTATTTTATGAGGAAAGTGTACCAAATTGCTATGAAAAGCTAGGTAAACAGCCCTCTTTTTTCATTTTTTTTCATTATTAGGTTGTTGTTAATATTTTCACTTAATTTAATTTTGAAATAATAGAGAAGATTTGTAGCTCAGATGGATGATTTGCAATTAAAAGTGTTCTCTGAGCTGGTTGGTTTAGTTTTATATTCGTATTCTTAATGAACAATATTATCAATGTAAATGCCCTTATTTTACCTCTGTGATGACAAAATTAGATTTAGTAGTGTACCACATGCTGAAAATTTCATATTTGTACCACCAGTACTGTTTGGAATAAAGCTATTAGTATCACCAAGTATTCTCTCACATTACGCATAAATAAACTTCGGTTGTCAGACTATTAACCGTCTTGTATTTATATGCCTATGCCCAATGAGCTAAAGAAACCAACTTTTGAACCTCTAGTAAAAACAGTTAACTATATATGTGAACAAGTGGTCAGCCAGTCGATAAATATTGGCATCCCAACGGAAATCCTAAAAGAATTAACTGATTAAAAATGCACATTAAAATTTTCAAAAGAACGGACACGGAACAAAGAGTACTCTTTTCGATAACCTCTTCATCATCAGGTTCTACAATTATATATACATTATAATGAATGAATGAATTAGTCTTATGAACGACATTAATGTTGAAATAACATCAAATCAATAATATTGATAGATTACAGCTCAATAGCATCAACATAAAATAATCTGAATGTCAGAAGAATTATGAAAGATAATAGTACAAATTCATGAGTTTATAGTTTCTACTGAGGGCCAGGGCAGTAGTAGGGGCTGGACTTGTTTCTTTTGGACACAGAGCACTGGTTGTTTGAGGCGAATTGCAATAGCCTCTGCTGTTTGGAGCATGCGGTGCTTCGACTATTTTGGTAATTTGTTAGGTACTCGGTATATTATAGAGAAGGATTCTTCCACGCTGGCTTTGTGACCGGTTTGCACCAGATGGTCTAATATTGAGCTGTTAATAGTTTTAACTACACCTTTACTTAGCCACAGTGGGATATGTTCTCGAGCACGAAAAATCAAGTTCGTAGAGCAACGGCCAATATAATTCGCTCCACAAGCGCAGTTGAATTGATAGATACAATTTGAAGTGGCTAGTCTAGGTACTTCATCTTTCAGTCGAGGTAGCACCATCGGTCGTGTAGAGAATAAGACGTGTAGTCCGCATGCTCCAAACAGCGGAGGCTATTGCAATTCGCCTCAAACAACCAGTGCTCTGTGTTCAAAAGAAACAAGTCCAGCCCCTACTACTGCCCTGGCCCTCAGTAGAGACTATAAACTCATGAATTTGTACTATTATCTTTCATAATTCTTCTGATATTCAGTTTATTTTATGTTAATGCTGTTCAGCTGTAATTTATCAATATTATTGATTTGATGATATTTAAACATTAATGTCGTTCATAAGACTAATTCATTCATTCATTATAATGTATATATAATTGTAGAACCTGATGATGAAGAGGTTATCGAAAAGAGTACTCTTTGTTCCGTGTCCATTCCTAAAAGAATTGTTATTAAGGTCTACCATGAATGTAAATTTCAAATTTGACGGCACGCTTTACAGACAAGTAGATGGGGTGGCGATGGGCTCCCCACTGAGTCCCATTTGGGTAGATTTCTTTCTAAGTAAACTAGAAAATGGATCTTTGAACAACTTAATGAGAAAGTTCTCATTTTATTGCCAGTATATGGATAATGTTTCGGGTAGGAGTACAATAATAACTGAATTCAATGAAGTACATTCTGTTATGAAAGTCACATGCGAAGAGGAATCCCAAGACAGAATTGCTTTCCTGGATGTCCTACATACAAGAAAACCAGATGGTAGCATAAAAAGAAATTTGCACAGAAAAAGTACTTGGACAGGACAGTACACACATTTTCACAGCTTCGTTCCCATCAAGTACAAAAGGAATTTAGTGAAGACCCTCAGCCACAGAGTTAGACCTATATGCTCAGAAGAAGTAATTGAAGATGAATTAAGCATTGTATATGATACCTTGATCGAAAATAGCTATCCCGACAAATTTATCAAGAAACACATGACAAAGAAAGCGGAAAAGGACTAATCACTATCCCTAAACAAGAAGCCTCTTTATATACGACTGCAATTCAAGGGCGATATACCAAGTGAGATAATTACGAAGAAATTAAGAAAATCAGTTCAAAGAACTTTTAATGCTGGCAAGCTATACGTCTTATTCTCTGCACGACCGATGGTGATCCCTCAACTGAATGATGATGTACCTAGACTAGCCACTTTAAATTGTATCTATCAATTCAACTGCGCTTGTGGAGCGAATTATATTGGCCGTTCCTCTAGGAACTTGATTTATCGTGCTCGCCACTGAAGAGGCGAGGTAGGCAGCAAAAACAGGTGGACATAGAGAAGACAGAGGTGATGAAGATAACCAATCAACCAAACAACAGCAACAACAACAACTGGCACCAATCGCCACCAACGGGATAGCTTTAACAGAGGTTACCTCCTTCACTTATCTGGGAAGCATGGATTCAACTACAGGCGGACAGCGCGGATGAAGATGTCAAATTAGGCTTGAATCGGAAGGGCAAGATACGCCTTCATCAATCTGAAACCAGTTTGGAAATCTTCCGCACTCAGCTTAAGGAACAAGATTTGCATTTTCAACACCAATGTGAAGTCAGTCCTTCTGTACGGGTCAGAAACTTGGCC